AAAAATCCCCCAAAAAATCCCAAAATCGCCCGCGAGACCAAGGTGAGAACCCCAAAAATTCCCAAAAACCCCAAAAAATCCCCCCCAAAAAAACCCAAAATCCCCCCAAAGAAACCCCAAAAAATCCCCCAAAAAATCCCAAAATCACCCAGAAATTCAGGATAAAACCCCAGAAATTTGGGGTCAAACCCCAGAAATTCGGGGTCAAACCCCCGGATTTGGGGATTTTGGGTTCCCTGATGAATTTTTGGGGTCCCTGGTGGATTTTCGGGGTGCAGGCCTGGCAGCGGCTGCGGGGCAGGAATTTGGAGTCAAACCCCAGAAATTCAGGGTCAAACCCCAGAAATTCGGGGTCAAACCCCCGGATTTGGGGATTTTGGGTTCCCTGATGAATTTTTGGGGTCCCTGACGAATTTTTGGGGTCCCCATCTCGTTTTCGGGGTGCAGGCCTGGCAGCGGCAGCGGGGCAGGAGTTTGGGGTAAAACCCCAGAAATTCAGGATAAAACCGCAGAAATTCAGGGTCAGACCCCAGAAATTTGGGGTCAAACCCCCGGATTTGGGGTTTTTGGGTTCTCTATCTCATTTTTGGGGTCCCTGGTGGATTTTTGGGGTCCCTGGTGGATTTTTGGGGTGCAGGCCTGGCAGCGGCAGTGGGGCAGTAATTTGGAGTCAAACCCCAGAAATTCGGGGTCAAACCCCAGAAATTCGGGGTCAAACCCCTGGATTTGGGGATTTTGGGTTCCCTATCTCATTTTTGGGTTCCCTATCTCATTTTTGGGGTCCCTGGTGGATTTTTGGGGTGCAGGCCTGGCAGCGGCAGCGCGCCGAGCGGCGCCGGCAGCAGCAGCAGCAGCCGGGTGGGGAATTCGGGGTCAAACCCCAGAAATTCGGTGTCAAACCCCAGAAATTTGGGGTCAAACCCCCGGATTTGGGGTTTTTGGGTTCCCTGTCTCATTTTTGGGGTCCCTGGTGGATTTTTGGGGTCCCCATCTCGTTTTTGGGGTGCAGGCCTGGCAGCGGCAGTGCGCCGAGCGGCGCCAGCAGCAGTAGGGCGGGGGAATTTGGGGTCAAACCCCAGAAATTCGGGGTCAAACCCCAGAAATTCAGGATAAAATCCCAGAAATTCGGGGTCAAACCCCTGGATTTGGGGTTTTTGGGTTCCCTGTCTCATTTTTGGGGTCCCTGGTGGATTTTTGGGGTGCAGGCCTGGCAGCGGCAGCGCGCCGAGCGGCGCCGGCAGCAGCAGCAGCAGCCGGGGCAGGGTCAGGGTCAGGGGCCGGGGGCTGCGGGCGCTGCCCTCCGGAGCTTCCTGGA